GAATACAAAATAAACAGTATGTGATAGACATCAAACACATCTGTTAATAAATAGAATGTATATCAAATGGTTCAATATAAAATTGGGAGCAAAATACAAGTGTGATGATCTCCTTGATTATTCTGGGTCTATCTATATCTATCTATCTATCTATCTATCTATCTATCTATCTATATATCATATCATATCATATCATATTATGTATGTATGTATTTCCTTCAAATACAGAAGGAATGTTTATGGTGATGTTTAAAGGTGTTTCAGTTGGGAAGATAAATGTGCATGTATTGTGTCTGCAAACATTATCATGTTATTGGCTGAGAATCCAAATAATCTGCAACAAATCAAATATGGATTTGAAAATCAATGTACTAAAGACCAACATACAGTAATTGTGACTGATAGAAAAAGAAGTCAATGATTGCATGTTATAGAAATGAAGCAAAAAAACAGAGCAAGTATAACGCTGTTGATCTTTGTGTGTTATTGAAAGAGGCAAGTTCTTGTGTGCAAGAAAGTGCTTCTGTCCACTGTGCTACATAGAACTTCTGGCCACTCTGTTCCATGGAAGTGAGCTTTGGGTATATCAAGAGAACCATAAAAGAAAATTGAGTGCAGTGAGAAGAAAGTATTTTAGATGTAGTAAAACAATAAAACATAGGCTCAATAATGAATGGGTGATGAATGGACACAATAGTGAGCAAGCAAGCATGAAAAAAACGTACTGAAGAAAAGTCCAAATTGTAAACTGGTCTTAAGAAGGAGTGAAGATGTCAAGAGAAAGAAGACAGAAAATAATAGATATGAGTTCATAATATCCTCAAAGAGATTAGACTTTTGCAGAGCAAAAGGCAATGTATAAAGTTGTATAGATATGGTGAAATCAATTGATTGTTGGATTACATGCCACTGAATTATTTCAAACACATTGCGATCCACTGGCTGAAATAAAGGATGGCTGCACAAAGACAGAAAAACATGGAGCCTATGTTTTTGTGAGATGAGTCGTCATATAAATATGACACATAAATTCATAAAAGTGAAAATTTCCTTTGTTATCTCATGCCTGCGATTTCTTTTGCTCCTTATTTTTATTCCTTTATTTATTGCTTCATAGAAACTTGTTTTATCATGAAAGTGAGCATCATTGATTGGTATTGCAACTCCTCTTGTCCCCCACTCTTCCTTTCCATTTGCAGCCCTTGCAATACTGGCTGGCTAACTTTCTGCCTCCTCACTTAGCACTGCATCATATTTATACTGGTACCTCAGGAGCCACCCTGAAAAGTGCTGCATTGGCAACCCCATCACCTTGTGCCTATTGTGCCACTAGCTGAGAATGGAGGGAGCCGAGTTCCATACATCTATAGGACGTCAGATTGGAGGTGGAAATCCCAAATGGTCAGGCCTTCAAAAAAAAAAAACCCCATCATTAAAGAGGGGCTTCTCTGGGCCATTATAATTAGGACTCAACCCTACTTACAATTGCTCCGCGTCGAACTCCCTCCATTGCACAGGTAAAACATGCCTTTCCTCACCCTCCCTTAGAATAAGCAACTGAGCATCCCAAACCTTATTCTCCCCCCACACACACACACACCTAAAAGGAACATGGAATCGCCATCATCTGTAGTCCTTTGAAGCCCGCTCTTTTCGAGCAGCCGCCAACGGGACTACAACTCCCATCATGCTTCTCGGAAAAAAATCTTTTTCTTTCCAATCCGCCGCCCCCCCTTGCTCACCTGGGGAGGGAAACGCCTGTTACGAATTCCGGGGGCTCGCGATTCCGAGCGGGGAGGGTGGGTATCGCATCCTCCGTCTTCCAAGCTAATCCTTGGGTCTAAAAAAGTGGGGGGGGGAAAGGATGGAGCTGCTGGGCCTACGGCGGGGAGGGGCCGCCGCCTTCGCGTGCTCGTGCGCGCGGGGCGCGGAAAGAGATAGTGGGGGGGGGGGGCAACACCGCCTTCTGGGTCCTTCGGCCCGTTGGCGCGCGTGCGGGACAGTAGCGGCGGCGATTGGTTACCATGGAGGCAGAGGGAAGGCGGGTTGAAGCCTCCCGACGCTCCTCCCCCTATTGGCGGGAGGGAGACCCGAATCTTTGCTGTGGAGCCGCTTCCCGGCACAGTTTCGAGATTGGACGGTCCCGGCTTTTGTTTTGTTTTTCCCCTCGTCCGTGCTTTCTTCCTTCACCCTGAAGTGAAGTCCGCCACAAAAAATTTCCGCGTGTATAGAGAATAGAATAACAGAGTTGGAAAAGACCTTGGAGGTCTTCTAGTCCAACCCCCTGGCTAGGCAGGAAACCCTACAACACTTCAGACAAATGGTTATCTAATATCTTCTTTAAAACTTCCAGTGTTGGAGCATTCACANTAGGTACAGAGGGACAGAGAGAGAGTAGGTAGATGTTTCCAGGAGTATTTAACCATGTGCTGGAGAAGGAAATTGCTGACAATCTGCAGCACCTAAGACTTTGTTTCTGTTGGCATAGCATTTGATCAATATAATTCTCATCGATCAGTTAAGAGCTTTCCAAAAAAAAGTTTTTGCACTCTGCAAACCTCCCAAAAATGGCCGTTTTTTTTGCAAAAATGGGCTTGTTTTTTCCCCCCCCAAAAAAGGCATGAATAGCCTTGGGGAAGGGGGGCTTGCAGAGTGCTCCTGGGGGGGGGGCAAAAACTAGCAAAAAATTGCCCATTTTTCGCAAAAATGAGCCCGTTTTTTGTCAAAAAAAATGCTTGCATAGCCTTATGGAGGCTTATAGATTGCTGCTGGGGACTGGGGGGGGGGAATAGCCCATTTCTGCCCTCCCCAGCCCCCAGGAGCTCTCTGAAAGCCTCCATAAGGGTATGCACGGCCATTTTGGTAAAGGGGCGGGGCTTCAGGAGGCAAAAAAATGCTGTATTCTATGTATAAGATGCACTCAGATTTTCAGCCTCTTTTTTGAGGAAAAAAGGTGTGTCTTATACTTCGAAAAATGCGGTATTTTATTTACTACCAAGGAATTTATTTACTACTACAGCAATAAATACAAAAAATAAAGCAACTATAGCAAATCAATAAATACATTTACAAAATTGTAACATCATGAAACCATAATTACATCCTAGGAATCAGACCCAACAAAGTGCAGACAGTTACAGTACAGGTAGTCCTCGTCTTACAACAGTTCATTTAGTGACCATTCAAAGTTACAACGATAGTGGGGAAAATGATTTATGAACACTTTTCACTCTTACGACCACTGTATAATCTCCTTGGTCACATGATCAAAATTAAAATGCTTCGCAACTGACTCATACTTATGAAAGTTGCAGCAATCATGTGACCAACCCTTTTGTGACCTTCTGACAAGCAAAGTCAATGGGGAAAACCAGATGCACTTAACAGCCATATCACTAATTTAATAACTACAGTGATTCACTCAACAACTGTGGCAAGAAATTTGGAGCTCAATTGTGGTCGTAAGTCAAGGACTACCTGTAATATGATTCTTTTCTCTCTATTTTCTAGGCTTCTTTCCTGTGACAGTAAATGTTGCAATTTAGTTGATATAGGCAGAGGTGGGTTGCTACTTTTTAGGATTTCTACTGGTTCGCCAGACTGGCAATTTGCGCACAGTTCAATGTAAATTGTTCTTCATGCATGCGCAGAACAATTTATAGTCAACTGCATATGCACAGGCACTACTAAAAAACATGCCAGCAACAGGAGCAGCGACCAGGGAACCAGTTCAGGGGCGTGGCCAGCCTGGGTCGCTACCAGTTCTGCGAAACAGGCCTAAATGCCACTACTGGTTCAGCTGAACCAGGCCAAATCGGGAACAACCCACCTCTGGATATAGGGTTTATCCCCTAGAGCCCTCAGGAGCTAGGGGGGAACAAATGCATGCTTGGAACCTCAAAATGTAGTTCCTTGAAATCTCAAACCATGGGAAGCAAACTATTTATTTTTTGATCCATATTTGCTAATATTTACATTTATTTCTAGCAGTCATTACATCTTTTCAAAATGCCAAATGGAATTTAAAAGTAGATAGTTCTCAGTTTGTTAGTGGATAAATTGCATGCATATTCCATGTTGGTACTAAATCAACCAACTTAGGCCAAAGACTTGACAAATCACACATTGCAATAAGATCCATATCAAAAGTCCCTCTACCAGCAGAGTTGCATTAAGAGAGTTGTACTAGTTAATTGTATTCCATCACTGGTTCCTATCTGTTTCTATTTTTTACCTTACATAAATTAAGCCCCTATTAGCACCTTTTTCAACGATTAAATCATGTAAATCAAAACATCAAAATCCTTTTTCAAAAATGAAACTTTTTGAGATTATGGTCCCTATATACATGAATCTAAATTGCAGAAAATTATGCCACCCATTTTTAGCACACACCACAGAATTTTGACAGAATGATTTGAAAAAAAGATCTGTGATAGTTTCCTCAGTTGCCAGTTTAGATAATGAGGAACAGCCAGTTCCAGGAACATCTGGCAGGGCTTATGAGGACCACCTGGGGGATTTCAAAACCAAGGGAGGTTCATCATAAGTTCAAACAGTCACTAGATGACTGGTTGCAAGTCAAGGATTGCCTGTATCAGACAGGACACATGACCAGGTGAGCCAATTCTACTTTATTGTAAGGCTTTATTAACAAAATCTAGCAAGTCTGATAATACAAATCTAGCATCATCTCTTTTTCAGCCTGAGAAGTCAGGGAGGTTCCTGAGTTTCTTTCTCTGCCCATTATGATCGGCAGTGATCAGCAGTGGCGATCGGTGACAGGGATCGCCGATCACTGCCGCCTAGAACACCACTTCGGCGGTATTCTGGGAGACCAATCCAACCACCAATCTGTTGCTTGGCAGCAAAGGCTGCAGCATTCCCCATCCGTGACAAAAGCACTAACCCTCCCTCCCCCCATCACAATATTTGCTCTATAAGATGCAGACATTTCCACCTACTTTTGGGGGGAGATGTGTCTTATAGTCCGAAAATACGGCACTTTATGGATGATTTAGTGTGAGAATCTCTGGGTTTTCAAGCAAAAAATTAAAATGTATATATTTTAGGATAACCCTGTCATATAGTATTTCTCAGATTTCTTCTGATAAAAAGATACCTTGAAATATAGGAAATTTGAATTTATTACTTGGATGTGAAGGACCAACACTATAGATTTAACTTAGTCATTCATCTTTATTACTATTCATGGGACTAATATCTATTAAGTTCAATTCTATAATACTATTATCAAAAATAATCTCACACTAACAACTGTGCACATTAAAATACAAGCCTATATATCTTATCAAATAATGCACACATAAATTCCTACTAAGTGATTGTCAAGGAAAAACCCTATCCAGATATTGCACAGAATAGTTAAATTAATGAAGTTAAATTAATAGTAGCTGATTCATCATTTAACACCGTATATATGTAGTATATATATGTGGTCCCTTAAACATAAAAATAACTTTGAAAAAAAATACATTGAGGGACTGCTATGATTTTCATTCTTTTTATTGCAAAATCCTAAACCTGACATGAATCTTGAGATCTTTTAAATATTTACATTAGATGTTAGAGAAAAAGCAACACAAAAGTGAATTACCGCATACAATTATATTATTAACTGTCAAGTTCTTTAAGATGAAATCTTATGAGATGAGAAATAATAGTTTCAAAATAAAGTTTTGAGAAATTGAGTCATGAACAATGATCTCGTACAACATACCTAAATTGTATGTTTGATTGTAATGTCTTCTGTCCCATGACATTTAACAAGTTTTATCTGAGGAAGGAATTATATGGTACTGTACATATATACATACCCATCAGGATCTCCTTTTTAGGATAAACCATAATGTAAGTATAGAAATTAATAAAACAATAAGCCAAAGAAATTAAAGACATAAGATAAGAAAAATGAAAGGATTCCACTATACCTCTCCTTATCTTTCCAACACTGCAAACCATCTTTGCATCCATTCCACCAGATGTTTTATATATTGCCTTTCTTGACTCTCTTTATGAGCTCATTAATTTCTTCTAACCACAATTTTCTTCTCTTTCCTAGAACACATTAGCTACTTGGGGTAAAACTAGGATGGGATGCACTTGTGGCATACTAGCCAGAATGTACCAAAACTGACTAGTACAATATTTTCTTTAGTTTTAGAAGAGTTGCTGCTGAGTGGGCAGGTATACAAGTAAAACTGTCTCTATCTTCCTAGAATGCATTATGTGAAAAATATTATATGTTTGTTGAGTTAGATATTAAGAAAGTAAATAGGTTGGAATTATGAAAAGTTTTGCCATAGGGAATTGAAATTTGAATGCTGAATACAAAATAAACAGTATGTGATAGACATCAAACACATCTGTTAATAAATAGAATGTATATCAAATGGTTCAATATAAAATTGGGAGCAAAATACAAGTGTGATGATCTCCTTGATTATTCTGGGTCTATCTATATCTATCTATCTATCTATCTATCTATCTATCTATATATCATATCATATCATATCATATTATGTATGTATGTATTTCCTTCAAATACAGAAGGAATGTTTATGGTGATGTTTAAAGGTGTTTCAGTTGGGAAGATAAATGT